AATTTGTTTTGCAGATGTTTTATTCTATCACTGGTGTTCTTTTCTAGCATGTTAATTTCTCTGTTTATTTCATTAAAGTTTTTATATTGTTACGACAGCGGAAGTCACGTGACGCTAGTAACATGCCATATTCTCGAAGCTTCGTGAAGCCTCGGGAGGTTACTAGATGTACGGTATTCTTTTATATAAGACGGTCAAGAAGTGACGGCAACAATGTAATGGGTAATTGAACTGCGGACAGAGAGACGTATTGTTGAGTCGAGCACGTGAGACGTTCGTTGTGAATTATAGCGTTTGTTATAGCGCGACTGTGGAAATTAAGTGTATCGCAAAGTTGTATTCAGAAAGAATAAACCAGTTTTATTTAAGAAAGGACTTGTATCGCTAAAGTTTCATCGGAAAGAAATTATACGGGAAACAAACCAACGACCAGAGATGTAACAACAATAACTATAAATGTTAGGTTTTGTATATCAGTTAAGAAATTTTATTCTTCAGATTTTTTCCAATTATTTGAAACCGGAAAGAATTTTTACGGAAAATTAACTAACGAACGGAGGCGTAACAAATTAGTGTTAGAAAGTGGGATAAAAAAAAAAAGATGGAAACGAGAAGAGGCAAATCAAAGTACAGCTTAGCAGATTTGATGGCAGCAATACAAGAACAAGAAAAGAAACAAGAAGAACGAGAAAAGAAACAAGAAGAGATATTACAACAGTTGTTGGAGGAAAAAGAAAAGAAACAAGAAGAGATATTACAACAGTTGTTGGAGGAAAAAGAAAAGAAACAAGAAGAGAGATTACAACAGTTGTTGGAGGAAAAAGAAAAGAAACAAGAAGAGAGATTACAACAGTTGTTGGAGGAAAAAGAAAAGAAACAAGAAGAGAGACAACAGCAGTTGCAAGAAAACCTGCAACAGTGGCAGCTTTACTGACATTCATATCTGGGATACGACTTCTAACAGGACTGAAGATGTCTGCATTAGGGTTTAGCTGCGGGCTCTGGAAGGGGCTTGCCATTGTTTGGGGCTGATTAAGTCGATGGTTAATGTATCATCCTTGTGTAAAAGACAATAAATCGTCCTTTAATGTATCTAATTCGCTTTTAAATTTACTAATGTTTTCCATTTGTACTTCTTGCCACTGTTGTTGACTTTCCTGTAGTTGCTGCTGACTTTCCTGCAACTGTTGGAGACTTTCTTCCTGTTTCCTTTCTTGTTCTAGTTGCCACTGCTGTAATCTCTCTTCTTGTTTTTATTCTTTTTCCTCCAACAACTGCTGTAATTTCTCTTCTTGTTTCTTCTCTTTTTTCCTCCAACAAATGCTGTAATTTCTCGTTTATTTTGCTGTTCGCTAATGCAGACATATTCAGTCCCGTTAGAAGTCACATCCCAGATATGAATGTCAGTAATAGGAGTGATCCAGTGCGAAGGAAGCCACAGGAATTCGATGGGAAGGCACCGTGGGAAGCATATAGAGCACAATTCGAGCTACTGGCAGAGATGAATGGATGGAAAGCTGTATATCTGGCAACGAGCTTGAAGGGACAACCACTGGAAATACTTGGACAGTTGACAGCAGCCGACAGACACAACTATAGAACACTGGTAGAGGCCCTGGA